TTAAAGGGAGGAGATCGGATCGCAGATCACTTAGAAAACTAGGTGGGGGAACTGCACGGCTGTTTATAATGTATCTTACACTGCTTCCTTCCCATAATGGGATTATGAATTCTATTTGTTAAATGATATATGATTTATACGTACGTATTACATAAAATAACACAGTTATTGATGTCAAACTATAAAACTATGAAGAAAATATAAATTGGAAAAAAAAAGAAAAGAAAAGAAAAGGAGACACTGAATGAGAGTTGGGAGAGATAAGAGGAAAACCACGAGAGGACAGAGTCACAGAGACCAAGTGATTGAAGAGTTTGAAGAAGGAGAGTATGATCAACGGTGTCAAAGGCCGCAGAGAGGTCAAGAAGAATTAGTATGGAGGCACCCTGAAATAAACCCCTAGATACAAAATCAAAAAGGTAAACCCAACGAATGGATATCGCCTAAACGGTTTTATCTGAGTGCCAGAATGGCAACCACCATTATATGCCGTTCACAGTAGAATAAAACTTAGTAAGGTATTCTCCCAGAATCAGGCCTGCCAAACCCCAAAAACCTCTTTTTATGATGAAAAAAGGCTGGAGATATATACTCTGTTAGTTCTCATATAAGCTAATATGCGATTGAAGAATCCATCTTATATATACACAAGTATTCATCTGTGCCTTCAAGGGCACCTATCAATTAGTAATAGCTAAACTAGCTACCTAACAGAGACCCCCTGCAAAACAACACCCAAATCAACTAAATTGAATGTGCTATTGGTGGTATTTGCCTGCCGTGGTTTGCAGAAGGCTAGACAACCCGAAATCCCAGGCACCCGAAGTTTTAGTAAATTAAATGATTTAAAGGATAACTACTAAGGTAAGCAAGGTAAAGAAGGTAATCATTATCAGAGGCTGAAGGTGTCAGTTTCAGTGAGCTCCGACGCGCGTTTCGCTGGTAAGCGGCTCTTCAAAGGGGAACAGAGTCCCTGTCAGTTTAAGTTTAATTAACGCGCTCTATGTCCTGATAGGTGGATACATAGGATGGTGGTCGGGATAGTACAAAAAAATTGTTGATTGCTGAAAGGATAATTATGAAAGATTTAATCAGTGCGTATGTCATTGCATTAAATGTAAAAATTAAATCCTATAGTTGAATGGAAGTAAGCAACTGAAAAGAGATAAATACGTGAGGTAATTTACAGAAAGTAAATAAAAAGAAAAAAGCGCATTAGATACTGTCTAATTCTGTGGTACTAGATGTCAGATCCATATCGATTTTGTATAGAGACAGTCATTGTGGTAATAGTACCAAATCATAAAAATGTGACGTTAATAATTATTTTTTTTTTATTCTTTATTTTTGGTGTGCATAGTGATTAAGACATACAAGCTCGTGGTGCCCCAACAGCAATCCTCGAGCATTTTTCAAGCATTACATTAGTAGCAGTAGTATAATGAGCACATTTTTATATTAACAAGTTTATAATAGGAACATTCAGTAATATTGCATGTAGGGTATGGTTAGTAGTCATTTAATCGCAAGCAGTTACCGCCATATTGCCCAGGTTACTTAAACATGTAATGGTGGCTGAAGTAAATAGTGTAGCTTGTCTAACCGATATTGCCTCAACTGATAGGTCTGCCAAACCTTTGTGTAACTAAGCGTGGAGTTCAAGAAAGCCCTGTTGATTAGGTCTAGTTGTACATAACATATTCGAGGCTGTATACAGACATGCTTAGTAAGTAATTATGGTCCAGGCTTCCCCTAATTGGCAGTTACATAGCAGAGCTGTGCTGGGTGATTATGTTGTCGGTTGAGGCCGACAGATTGTAGGGTGCCCTTACGAGTAAAAGAAAATAACCAGTTGTATAAGGAAATATGCTTAACTAAGGTAACAAGAATTAACAGGGAACAAGTTTCTACAGGGTGTTTATGTTCTGTAGACGTAAGGGACCTCTGTGATGAGAGGCCCAAGGCAGCTACAGCCTTTGCATAACCCCCCCACCCCCGACCTGGCTGCCATTCACCCAATGCCCGTGGTAGCTACCAGAGTCATGTGGGAAGTGAATGTCCCGCTTGGATCAGTCGTATTGCAGGATGGCGAGAGTCCCAGTGCCAGGCTCGGACGCCCCCGATCTGCTGGTCTGTCATGGATGTTGGGCGTACATGTTGCGGCTTGCAGTGTCAGTCCTGTTGGCTCCGACCTTTGCTGTGCATCATGAGGCAGGCTCTTTGGGCTTGCCGGGTATGGAGGTGCCATGTTGCTCAGAGCAGGGTAGGCCATGGGTCTCTGTCGATGTTGGCTGGGTTGAAGTTAATAAGTTAATAATTATTATTAATATTGATATTTTAGATTTAAACATGCCAATAGAAGTAAGGGGGGGGGGGGAGAGAAAATATAGACATTAAAAATTTAATTATATATATTGAATCCACTTATCAATGTATGAAATGGGTATCATTAAATTCCTCATTGAGTCCTTGTGGGGTCAAAGTCTTAAAAGAGTAAATCCATTGAGATTCTTTTTGGAGTAATTGTCTATTAAAATTCCCTTTCCTAGGGTTTGGTACAAGTTTCTCAATTACCTGGAATTTCAAATTGTCCATATTATCTTGATGAAAGTTAGCAATGTGTCTGTCTACTGGTGTTGGTGTTATGATGAAATCTTTCATAATTATCCTTTCAGCAATCAGCAAATTCTTAGTACTATCCCGACCACCATCCTATGTCAGGCACCAGTCTGTGACGTCATTACTTGTATCCACCTATCATGACATAGAGCACGTTATTCAATCTTAAACTGACAGGGGCTCTGTTCCCGTTTGAAGAGCCGTTTACTGGCGAAATGCGCGTCGGGGCTCCATGAACCTGACACCTTCAGCCTCTGATAACGATTACCTTCTTTACCTTGCTTACCTTAGTAGTTATCCTTTAAATCAATTTAATTTATTTTACTAAGACTTTGGGTGGCAGGGGTTTGGGGTTATCTAGCCTTCTGCAAACCACGGCGTGCATATACCGCCAATAGCACATGCAATTTAGTAGATTTTGGTGTTGTTTTGCAGGGGGTCTCTGTTAGGTAGCTAGTTTAGCTATTACAAATTGATAGGTGTCCTTGAAGACACAGATATATATATATATATATATATATATATATATATATATAAAATGGATTCTTCAATCGCATACTAGCTTATACACGAACTAACAGAGTATAGAGTCCAGCCTTTTTTCATCATAAAAATAGGTTTTTGGAGTTTGGCAGACCTGATTCTGGGAGAATACCTTACTAAGTTTTAATCTATTGTGAACGGCATATAATCGTGTTTGCCATTATGGCACTCAGATACAACCGTTTAGACAATATCCACTCGTTGTCAGGCTTACCTTTACGATTTTGTAACTGTTGCTAATAAACTTTGAGTTCGGATACCCCTAATCTATGCTCTTCATTTGTTACTAGCATTTGTATACTTTACTGTAACATAATCAAGTTACATAGTGTTTACCTAACCTAGGATCGCCCTAGAATATTAAACTTATACTCATTGTGAATATATCCCACATCAAGGTCTGTCAACATTGACACTCTGTCTACTTATTTAATATTAATTTTATTCTTCTCACGTTCCTCTATCACACATTTAGGTTTTATCAAAGTACGGTATTTGTTTTCTATTTGTTTCTCTACTTTTATACATCCTACCATTAAAAGTTATGTTTTAAAATTATTATTTTTTTGTTAGGATTTTTTCTAGATACAGGACAGTGTTTTTTCCTTCTTTTCGTTTATACTCCCAGTACTGGATGGGAATTTCAGAGGTCTGAGGTGTCACAGTAGGCAAACTGACGATGCACACTCTCCTAGTGATGGGTAACATGCATCTCTCAGAAAAGTCTTTACCCCATTCCAGTATTTCCCCCTTAGCCCATTCAATATGAGGATTGTGCTTGATGAGCCATGGAAATCCTAATATGATGGGACACAAAGGGGAAGCAATTATCTGAAATGTTATGTTGTCCCCGTGTAAAGTTCCTATACTAATGCTAATAGGCATGGTTTCATGGGTAATCAGAGGTTGAGAGAGAGGTCTCCCGTCAATAGCCTCAACGGCTAGAGGAGATGGTCTCTCCTCGATAGGTATGAAATGTTTTTTTCAACAAAATACATGGTAATAACGTTTCCTGCCGCACGCAAGTCCATCGGGGCTTTGCATGAAAAACCTTTCTTGTTGCAAAGGGCGGTGATGTCAAGGAGGAATCTACTTGGGTTACCAGAGGACTTTTGAAGTTTTATTATATACATTATTTACATTATAGATTTTATGTGCAGCCCAAGCCAATTCCTCTGCGCTCAATGTGGCCCAGGGATGCAAAAGGTTGGACACCCATGCCTTAGACTAAGTCTCCTTTCTTCCAGCTAAATGCATGACCTTGTGTCCTATATATAGTCGTGTTTATGAATCGATTTCCAGATAATGGTTTATACTGACACTTAATATATTTGTATGATGTTATCATATCCCCTCTTAGGTGACATTTTTCCAAACTAAAGAGATTTTAATTTTTTAACCTTTTTTCAAAAGTAAAAATAAATCACGAAAAGAAAAAAGCAATGGTGTGAAATTATGGTGGAACAAATACATAGCAAAACATTTGAAAGCACAGATACTCTAACAGGGTTATTAACTAAACTCAGAATTTTCACAAATTAAATCCAAATGGCAAAGCTAAGGAAAAAATATACACATTGTGTTATTGGCTAGGTTGAAGAAAATTTGGTCTAACACATATAATTAGTGAAAACTAATTATACTTAAACTAAATACTTTAATGCTAAAAGTGTTTTTTACACTTGAAAAAACGTTTTATTGGTGAAACCCATTGTGTAGTATTTGTTTTATTTCTTTTAGCATTAAAATACATTTGGTTTGGGGGCGGGGCCTGACTGTCATGGAGGGAAGACGTGCCTAACTAAAGCTCCACAGAAACCCTTGTAAAAATAGCTAAAATGGCACCTCTAAACCACAACAAACAGCAGCACACGACCCCAAGCGACATAACAACCCTCTACCCTAATGGTGAACCGGTGAAGCGGCCCATGAGGGGACAGCAGACAGCAGACTATACCCGCAAGGGCATGCGGCCTGGCGCGCACCGGGCGGGAGAGGCGGCCATGGAAAGCAACTGCCACAAGCGGATGCCCCGCAACCCCCCCCTCTGGACCGGCGGGGGTGATCCCGGTCCACCCCTGGGGGTCACCCCCAACAGGGCGAAAATAACTGGGGAGATGGCTGGAGAGCCGAGCGGCCCACCTAAGATGGCGGAGACCATGCGGCCACCAATCAGCCACGAGACATTAAGACACCCCCCGTCCAACATAGATAAAATCTTCCAAGATTTCTGGCTCAAGCTAGAGCTCAGACTACAACAAGGGGCTCCAGGTCCACTCATCTCAAACTGTCCACCCAGACAGCAGCCACCTAACCCTCAGGACCGGCCTGCAGCCCAGACAGAGCCTCACTCTATACAGAGGCAGCGGAGGAACAAGCCTGCACCTCGCCCACATAAGGCAGTGAAGCGATGGAAACTAAGCACTGGCTCACCCAGTTCACTCACCACCCGGAGGGCAACCCTACCTGGGCCCAGCGGCATTACTAACCGACCCCAGCTACACCCGTTTACCCAGCTACAGCCGGGCACTCACCACATCACAGTGGAGTCCCACGGGAATCCACAATGAGGCTCTGCACAGCCCCAATGCGGCATCGGGTGAACGGCCGGGGACCCGTCAACACCGCGGTCCAGGAGCAGGGGGTCCTGACACGTCTCACAACGCCACATCCTGATCCTGGGAACATGATCCCCCCTACGCCAACTTACCCAGAGAGGGACTCACACAGGAGACTTTCGCACATCCAGACGGTTATAGCGATATATCTTTTGGACAGTACAAGCTAAGGGGTATACTCACCTAGCATGTTCAGGATTGTATAGCCACACCATACGAGAGACATTTTTTAACCTGTTAAATACGCATACTGTATACCCTTCTCGAAACTGCAACACCGCATACCTTATCATAACTCTAAGCGTAACTAATACTCTCATAAGTCTACCTAGCCTAGCATTCATATCGAAAAGTTAATTTGTTCAGCGTGCAATGTGTTTAGTATGTAATTTAAGTTAGAAATGCAACATGTACTATTGTCACAGATGAATAGAAAAAGCTTGAATACTATAATATGTTAAGACACAACCTAGTTCCATCCAACCTTTTAGAAAAAATGTGCACTGTATTCTCTTATGCCATGTTATGTTCTGCTATTGAAAGGCTTCCTGCAGCTGTTGTGGCGTAGCAAGCCAGATTGTTCAATTCATGCACAAACAAAATAAAGAATTAAAAAAAAAAAAAAAAAATACATTTGGTTTTCACTTATTATATATGTGTTGGACCATTTAAACACTTTTTATGCTTTTTAATACTTTTTAACTATTTTATTTGTTTCTGGCACATCCAACTTAAATTTTGGACAACTACTTCAAATCACATCCCTAGTAGGGATTATACCACCCATGCGCGGATATTTGAGTGACATACCGCTCTATTAGACATGTGCAATTTGTTTTGGTCAGAATGTGAATTTGGACAATTCGAACATTAGGATACTTCCGAATGTCTGAATAGCCGAATTGCCGAAGTCCCGAAATTGCAGAATTTCCGAAGTGCCGAAGTGTCAAAGTGCCGAAGTTCCGAAGTACAGTATTGCCTAAGTACTAATATACTTACCCAGTGGAAGAATGAAGAATGTTACACTGTATACAAGTTTAAATAAAAAGTATACAAACATAACCAGGATTAAGCTGTAAGCATTCGCAACACTTACAACAATCAAGTAACACACATTCATATAAAATGTAAGTGACTTAGCCTGTGACAATTTTCAGTTCTTTACAGGCAGGGACGTATTAGCCGCGATGCAAAAAAGGCATTTGCCTTGGGCGGCATTTTCCAGGGGGAGGCAAAAAAAGCCGACCCCAAATGCCCAGGGCAAATGTCTTGTTAGCCTTGCGGCTAACTAAAAATCCGGTCTGCCGGTCGGGCAGGCGGCGCTGGCTCCCTCGCACGCCGCAGAATGATGCCGGCAGCTGGAATATGACGTCATATTCTGGCTCCTGACATCATTCTGCGGCGCACGAGGGAGCTGAGCAGAAAGCTCACTAATCAGTGCTCCCTCGCCAGCGCCGCTGGCTTGCCCGTCCAGCAGCCGCTGGACCCCAGGGAAAGGGAGTACCCTTAAATTTAAAAAAAAAAAAGTGAGTGTGTTAATGTGAGTGAATGTGTGTGTCTGTTAGTGTGTGTTAGTAAGTGAGTGTGTGTGTGTGTGTATGTCAGGGAGTGTGTCTGTTAGGAAGTGTGTTACTATGTGTGTGTCTGTTAGTGAGAGTGTATGCGTGTCTGTTAGTGAATGTGTGTGTCTGCTAGTGTGTATGTCTGTTAGCTCGTGTATGCATGTCTGTCAGTGTGTGTGTATTTAGAAGGCTGGGCAGGGGGGAAGGGAGGGGTGGTGGTGGGGCTGAGTTTTGTTATGCCTAGGGCAGCACAAAAACCAAGATACACCCGGTCTCCCTCCCCATTGGCCGTGTACCTTGCAGGGAAGGGAGACAACTGGTCTCCCTCCCCAGCGGCAGAGTATATTATTGGGAGGGGAAACAGTCGGTCTCACTCCCCAGCAGCAGCGCGTGTTATTGGGAGAAGAGACAATTGGTCTCTCTCCCCAGCGGCAGTGCATGTTACAGGGAGGGGAGACAACCGGTGACAATTTCCCTTCCAGGGAGAGGACACAACCAGTCCCTCTCCCCATCAGCAGCGGGAGCTACCGGGAGAGGAGACACTTGGTCCTTCACACCAACCACAGGGTGACTGCCCCCCCTAACCCCGATGGTGCAGATGGGACCGCGGTCTCTGCATCCGACCTACAGCGATGCTGGACGGCCGGTCCAGATCCCCAACCAACCCCCCAGGAAGGCCAGGAGGAGGAGGTAAACGGTCCCTTCTCGCCACAACAAATCCACAACCAGGTCCTGGGGGTAGTACTCACTGACCCCATCCCAGCAGAAGAGGTGGCATCTGGGCAGAGTACAGCTAGCCTCTGCCCTCACTACCCCTTTTTTCTGGGGTCTGACCCAGTGGAACCGTGACTATGGACCCTGCAAAAAGACATGCTAAAAAGTGACTTCTATGGGAAAAGGTGCCTCTTCCCCTTTTTCCTGTCCTATTGTTCTCCAGCAGGGCGTTGTGCCAGGGACACTGCCAGACCAGTTGAAACTGGCTGCTTTGTCCCTCCTCAATCTCTCATCAGCCCTTGCTATTGTCTGACCCCACCCTTCCTTGTACTATGTACTTGGACATATTGAGCGCTCAGATCCAAGCTATATATATATATATATATATATATATATATATATATATATATATTAAACATTGTATTATATGAGTTATCTCCAGGAGAGAGGAGAAGATAGACCGGCCGCACAGCCTAAATCTGTGGAACTATTTTGGGCATGAAAGCCATGCTTGCGGTTGGTCAAATGTGACTTCCATAAAACTTTTGAACCCTTGATTTGATCTGGGTGATTTTGGATATGTTGTTCACCCAGATCAGGGCTATCCGGGGATGTAGGATTTATGGGGATATGTTTGTGTTTTGGGGTGTTTCTGGACTTTGGGTAAAAATTTATATTTTCTGCCTGTGGATAATTAGGTTACTCCATTAGCTAGCTTAATTATATCACAGGCAGAGGGGAGGGACATACTTGAAAACAAGAGAAATCTCAATGTATCTTTCCAGGTAAAATATTTTATAAATAAATAAATATGCTGTCAGCAGGAAAGAAAATGTAACCTATATGCCCACCCATGAATACATTATTAAAGGAACACCTCCCAAAACAAAAATAATTATTAGTTATACCCCTAGTGAAAATATGCATATATCTAATTATGCATTTTTAATTGGAGGTATAACTAAAAGCTGCAAATCTCTTGTTTGCAGTCTTTGCAACCCCCTCCTCCCCTTCTAACCCCATCCAGACTTTCTGTGGCTGTCTAATCACACACTTCCCAATGCAGTTCAATGAGAAGTCTATGCAAGGCAGGTGCTCTGGGAAATCTCCTGCCTCATAAGTTTAGCTCCACTGAGCTAAACAACCAGGAAGTAACAGACAGATTTAAAGCCGGGGAGGCAGTGGTTTAATGTAAATTTATTTAAGCGCCAATATCTGTTATAATCTTCACTCTTTGTAAAAAAAAAAAAAGGAAATATATAAAACAGAGGACACACTCTTCTTTGCATAAAGCACTTAAGGGATCTAGAGTGTCCCTTTAACTACCATTCCTAACACAATTGTCCCTCAAAGTGAATTTCAAATTTAAGGTCAAAACAGCACAGCTAAAAAAAAATCCTCTCTCAAAGTCAGCTATTGTTTCAGAACGTCTACTCTGGCCTTAAATTTGAATTCACTTTGAATTAGCATTTTAGTAAATAGTCCTGATAATCTTTTTTTTGCCCTGCAGAACGTTCAGCATTCTTTACACACTCACGGTCAAATATTATAAAATATATAAAAATAATATTTTAAAACTAGTTTTATTATCCATATATATGCTAAAAGTTCTCCACATAGGAAGTACTAGATAAGGAATCCCTTAATACATGGCCATACAGTGCTTGTTTTAAAATGTGCCAGTCACTCAAAAGGTTAATATAAGATGCAGTGACCCCTTTCTGCCTTGTGAATGATTACAATAGAAGTTTATCCATAGAACTATAGAGACAGACATTTAGAATAAAGCCCAGACTATGAATTTTATTGTCCTTCAAAGAGAATTTCCGGAATGAAAAGCTAATTGCATTGCTCAGCAGTCCAACCAAGTACTTCTGTTAACAGTCTAGGAAAATCAATGACATGAACAATTTCTAAAGTTGTTTAAAAAATGTTTTTTTTTAAAAAATATTATATTATTAGAAAGCTAAAGGAACACTATAGGGTCAGGAACACAAACATGCATTCCTGACCATATAGTGCAAAACCCATCATTTAGGTGGCTTGCCCCCACTTAAAAGTTAATAAAAAAAACTCACCCTTTTTCCACCTTATATCTTATATCCACCTTATTTCCAGAGTTGTACGGATCCGCCGACGCTGGCCCTGCCCCCTTGGTGACCATGCAGAGCATGAAGGCGCTGAACGGCACTGCTGCCTACTGTGTAGCACTGAGCCAGGAAGCACCTCCAGTGAGCAGTGGCCACTTGGAGGTGTTACTAGGGGCAATGTAAACACTGCCTTTTTACTTAAAAGGCAGGGTTTTACATGAAAATGCCTGCATATAATAATTGTACTCACCAGTACAACTACATTAAGCTGTAGTTGTTCTGGTGACTATAGTGTCCCTTTAAGCATAGTAGGTTGAGATCAGGGGTGTGCACGTAGCACATATTTACTCTGCCTGCAACTTCTGTGCATTCATGTTTCCGTTGCCCATCTAATTTGTTTGTTAATAGCATACATGGCTGTAACCAACCCTGTCTTTCTCACCAGACCCGATTTAATTACACTCAACTGTCATGCACCACATCACATACATCCAAGCTTGCTATATAATGTCACACAGTCTCAAAAGGGAACAAATGTTCTCAGTTAGCAGTTCTGAGGTTTTGTTAGGATTAGAGTTGAGCGAAC